TGTTCACAACTCCTCTCCATCTCAGAAGAGATAAGCAGTCGCAAAGGTTCACATCTGTACCTGACAGGAATGCCTCTTTGCACGTATTAATTTGTTTTACTTTAAAAAGCATATCTAAAATCTACAAATAAGCAAAGATTCCCTTCTAAAGTTTTGACCAGTTGTACTTGACAAAAATAATTCTGCTTGACTTGACCAAACTCATACTGTAAACCACTGATCCTGTTAGAAACCATATAATATTAGGGACTTGTCAACACTTGAAACGTTACATCTGTACCCCTGTAGCGCTTCAGCGTAGACACTACCTACGCTGACAGGAGGGGTTGCTATCAGTAATCCACCTCCCTGAGAGGTGGTAGTTAGATCAACAGAAGAATTATTCTGCCAACCTACCGCTGCCTACAACAGGAGTTAACTACCCCACTCAGGGGAGTGGATTTTTCACACCCCTGAGTGACAGTCAACCTACCTTTTTAGTGTAGACCAAGTCTAGGTCTCCAACTTTTTACTCAAAATGCAACATCTATAACCTTCCTCACATATTCCTTTTTGATAGCTACAATTTGTCCAAACATAAATGTAATGAGAGTTCTTTAAACCATCTTTGGCAGAAATTTTGGAAATATTTTGGGCCCAGCCACTGAAAGACTGATGATTAATTTACCAGAAACAGTCAGAGACCTCCAGCTGAAAAATCATGCTATGGATGCAGGATTCTGTAGTGTGAGGTATTGATAAAGTCACAGGCATTTCTTCCTTTGAATTCAATTGGAAACTCTATAGTGGGAGGTCTTTCTTTCCCTGGAGCTACTCATGCTCCGAGGAGTCAGAAACTAATCTCAGACTTCAGAGTAGCAGCAGTGTTAGTCTGTATCCACAAAAAAAAAAAAAACAGGAGTACTTGTGGCACCTTAGAGACTAACCAATTTATTTGAGCATAAGCTTTCGTGGGCTACAGCCCACTTCATCAGATGCATAGAATGGAACATATATTAAGAAGATTATACACACATATATATATACACATACAGAGAACATGAAAAGGTGGAAGTTGCCATACCAACTCCAAGAGGCTAATCAATTAAGATGAGCTATTATCAGAAGGAGAAAAAAAAAAACTTTTGTAGAGATAATCAAGGTGGCCCATTTCAGACAGCTGACAAGAAGGTGTGAGGATACTTAACATGGGGAAATTTAATCTAGCGGGAAGCGGCACAGGCCAAGGGATGTGCTGGCCACCCTTCGTACAGCCCCCATTGGCCTTTAACAGCGTACCACGGCCAGTGGGAGCCGTGATCGGCCGAACATGCAGACGCAGCAGGCAAACAAACCGGCCCGGCCCCCCAGGGGCTTTCCCTGAACAAGTGGCGGCCCTAGTTTGAGAACAACTTGTGTAGAAAACTTGATCTATGAGGAAAGGTTTAAAAAATCTGGACATGTTTAATTTTGAGAAAAGACTGAGGGGGGAACCTACAAAAGTCTTCAAATATGCTTAGGGCTCATATAAAGAGCATGGTGATCAACTGCTCTCCATGTCCACTGAAGGGGACAAGAAGTCCCTTGATCGGGAGCAAGGGAGATTTCGGTCAGATATCAGGAAAAACTAACTATCAGAATAGCTAAGTTCTAGAACAGGCTTCCAAGGGAGCTTGTGGAACCCCATCATTGGAGGTTATTAACAACAGCTAAGACAAACACCTCTTAGTGATGGTCTAAGAGGTATACTTGGTGCTGCCTCAGTGTAGGGGGTGGACTAGATGACCTCTCAAGGTCCTCTCTGGGCCTACATTTTTATGATTTCATAATAAAGAAGAGTAATTAAAAAGTTAAGTTTAGTCATACTTTATTGGTAGTCAATACATCCCCTTTTAGGGATCCCACCATAACACATGAAGCCTGTGAGCCACCAGGTCTTTGCAGCAGCACATCCCAACACATAATATTTGTTCTGTTTTGACATCTGTCTCAGTGTATGACAATGGGAGCAAACATCCTTTTGTTCACTTTTAAACATTTAGAGTGAGACTTTCAAGAGCTCTTTGAGTTGGGCTAACAGCTCCCACTCAAGTCATTGAAAGTTTTACTATCAACTTCATAGCAGCAGCATTAGGCAAACACTGGCTACTTTAGAAAATATCCATCCTTTTCCCTTTGTCCCAAATGTTTTCCCCCCCACCACTGATTAACCTCTTGTTTACTACCTCCTATTATTCCTTTTTCATTTTCCTGTTGAAAGTTTTAAGGTGTTGTTTTGATTACAGATATTTTGCTGGCTTTGAGAACATTTTAACTGTATTTTTGAGTACCCCAAGCATGTGAAAGAACTTGGGAAGGGAGGGGGCTAGAAGATTACTTATAAATAACATTATTCTGTATGTTTAGTAGTGCCACGGAAACTAATGATTTTTAACATTACTGCTGATCTTTTTATGAAATATAAAATGTAAATTGGTCTAGCAAAATATAGTTTCCCACAAAGGCATCAATTTAAGTTTCAGTACTTTGGACACACAGGTTTCTGACTAGTTACCAAGGATCTCATAACCAAGCAGTTCTCAACCTTTTTCTTTCTGAGGCACCCCAACATGCTATAAAAATTCTGTGGCCCACCTGTGCCACAACAACTGTTTTTTTTGCATATCCAGTAGATTAAAAGAGGAGCTGGTGTTAGGGGGTAACAACCAGGGCAACTGCCTGGGGCCCCAAGTCAGAGGTGTTGAGCGATCAGGATAGGTAATTATTTATGTAAATTGTCTTTCCTTTTTAATTATAAAATTGCCAGATTTTTTTTTTAAGAGGAAAATAATTTCCAAGTATGACATAGATTTAGATAGGGCCTTTATAATTACTAGTTTTAAATAGTTAATTAAATGTTATATTCTCCTTGCTAGAGTTCATGATTAAACTATGACATGTTGAAATAATCTGTGACCCGATCTAAGTTGCTTGGGCTTCAGCCCCACGCGCCGGGGCTTCGGCTTCCTCCCCTGGTCCCCAGCAAGTCTAACGCCAGCCTTGCTTTCTGTTTTATTTTGGAGGACCCCCTAAAAGCTGCTTGTGGGCCCCCAGAGACCCCTGGACGGCTGGTTGAGAAACTCTTGTTATAACCAACTAAATAATGCCTAGAACAGAAAAAGCACATGCCTAACTGTAACTGGCTTCCACATTTTCTTTGTAAACTTCATGATAGCAACAGAACAGTCCACACAATTTCTGTGGGATTATCACACTTCTTGGGTTTGGCCTGCTGCCTTACCACACCCCTTGAGGCATGCTATTATCACCCAGAAATGCAGAATCTAGCATGTCTTATTTCTTAAGGGTATCATGTAGGGAGGGTATTAACAACCAAGAAAGGTGTACAACATTGCCTAAAATGATTATGCAAATGTAATTCCTAACACATGTAGTTTATTAAATTATAGTTTGCTTATGTTGACAAGTTACCAACTGACTAATCCCGTTTTAGACCGTCGCATTTTGTGTTATTCAAAATTAAGTCCATAAGAGCAATGTAGTTGGTTGTGATGCTGTTTGGCTTAGCAAATAAGCCTGTATACTGAAGAGCTGAGTGAATGCTATTAAACCTTGAGCATTATTGTCAACCACATTGTTCCAAAAACATGAGTTAGACCCCCAAAATAAAAAAATGTGAGGGGTTCTTTTTATTCGCCTTGTAGTTTTCAAGCTTTTAGAGCATACTCTGGTCATCTGTTCAAGCTTCAGAAATTACTTCTTTTTTTTTAAATGAAAGTTGAGATTCTCATGTAGTCACATGATTCCAGGAGCTGGGGCTTTAAGAAAACTACCAAATATCTCAGGAGTTGGCAATACTACTTAAGACACCACCCTCACCACTAATGCAGCAATAACAAACAAGATGAAAAGTCATCATAAGAGACAGGTTACCAATCTACAAACATGAGGTCTGAGTAAAGCCCATTGAAGTCAATGGGAATCTTTCTGTTGGCTTCAATGGGCTTTGGGATCTGGCCCATGGTAAAGAATAATAAACTTAAAACAGTAAAGGAAGGGGAAGGGAGAGAGGTGTAGTTTCCAAAAATGTCTTCTGTGGGGAGAAAGCATAAAAGGAGAAGACTCATAGAGGTACAAGAACATAGGACTTTAGCTGAATATTTCAAAAGGAAGGCATTCTCTAAATACCACATCAACAGAATTTGTATCTAATTTCCATTTGGTTCAAATTATAACACTTCAAGTAAACTCAGTTCTACAAAAATCTTCTGAAGTACCTCACAACACACCCTTAATGTTGCTATAGGACATCCTGGTCTACACTGGGAATTTACACTGGTATAGCTACATCGCTCAAGGATGTGAAAAATCCACAGCCCCGAGAGAGGTAACTATACTGACTTAACCCCGTTGTAGACAATGCTATGTCAACAGAAGCATTCTTCTGTGGACCTAACTACCATCTCTTGGGGAGCTAGATTGACAATGGGAGGGAGACTCATTCCTGTTGGCATAGGTAGCATCTATGTTTAAGCACTGCAGCTGCCCGCTGTAGCATTTTAACAGTAGACATTCCCTTGAAGCTAAGTATATTGCCCAAAACATCATTTTCTTCTAGAATGCATATCTAATAATACTTTGCATGTTCTTTTCATTCATAGGCCAAAGTGTTTCAGTCATTTATTTGTGTAATTTCTAGAGCTGAAGTTGCTGACCAATACATAAAGCATAATTTAATATATTTAGTAAATGATAATGAAAACCACTACACATTTGTAAGAGTTTAACAGAAAAAAATGCATTCTCTTGGACTTGAGAATGTATTAAATGCTCAGAACCTGGGAACAGGTAGTTTTTTATTCATTGCAAAGTCTGGGCCCTTCACCTATAAAACACCACACATGCTTGTACTGCTAGCTAAATAAAATCCATCATCCCCCACAAAAAAATGTGGGAGAGAAACCACCATACTCTCAGAACTGCAAAGATAAACACCACCACAAAACAACACTCAACAGTACCTGGCACACTTTCGGTGTAACTGGACATCAGCAACTTGTTCTATATAAATTATAAAAACATTTTCAAAGTTGTTTACAAACATGACTATAAATAGGGCATAGTGAAACAGTAAGCTATAGGGTAAACCCCAGGGAAATTGATAAGAGGAGAGAAACAGGATGCAGATCACCAGGCTGAGGAGTTATTTGTACCCATACTCCCCAAAGTGGTCACCTGTTCTGGGTGCCTCAGTTATTAGGGTGCTTTGAACGTGAATTTCAGACTTGTTGAGAATCCACAGCTACCACCGAGGAGTTGTGGGTGCTCAGCAGCTCTGAAATTCAGGCCCGAGGTGTCAGATTGGGCACCCCAAACACTCAGGCACCTGCAACAGGTGGCCAATTCGTGGGAGGGAGGAGGGGGGGAAATCTTGGTTTTAGCGTCTGGTACCAGGTAACAGATAACGTTACAAGGAAAGGAGCTGCTTTCCCCAGACCTGGGTGCCACCGGCACAGCGCTGGGTGGAATCACAGAGGCCAAGGTACATTAGCAGACATTCCTGCAACAGGGTACAAGACTCAGAAACACACATAACCCTCCCCTTCTCTCCCTCCCGCCCCCCCCCCCAAAAAAGATTACTCGGCAGCCAGGCAATATATCCCTTGGGTCAATACCTCCACGGCCCCATGAGCTCCCTGCTAAGTTAGTCAGGCAATAGCAACACGCTGTTCGCTCGCCCTTGCTGGTGACTCACTCAAAGGCTCAGACACACGGGGCTGGACGCAGAGGCGTGCAAGGAAGGAAGGCGCAGCCTGGCCTGGTGGTGGCCAACTAACCCCAGTGGGCTGGTGTCCAGAGACGGGGGAGGGGGGTGGTTAGACACGAGGGAGAGGGGAGCTGCGCCGTCCTCTTTCCCCGACCACCAGACACGGAGAGAGGAACCGAGGCCTCTCGGCAGCCGCGCGGCTCCAGGGGACTAACCGAGCAGGGGGAAAATGGCGCCGCCCGCCGGGGGAGGGGCCGGTTCCGCCACACATCTGCTGCGGCGCCCCCGCGCCTCCATCTTCTGTGTGGCGGCTCGCGCCCCTTCAACTTGGGGGACCGGCGGCGGTTGGAGCCCCGCGCGAGGAGCGGGGGGTGGAGCAGGGGCGGGCCGCCGCCGCAGCGTCCCACAGCGAGGGGCTTCCCCCTGCGCGCGGCGGCGTGGGTGGCGCGTTCGAGCAGCCCGCAGGGGAGAGGAGCGCTAGGGAGTCCCCCAGAGGAGGACCCCCCCTCCCCCGTAGATGCTCGGATGTCCCCCACCGGTTTCAGAAGAGACCCTGGAGCCATCATGAGGTACTTCTAGAGGCATCTCTACAGTCTCCTCTCGGCACCTGGTTAGGAAGTCCCCCATGCGTTGTGTTTACATTAGAAACACGCTAGGCCCCTTGCCATAAATTCAGATGCTTGTAGATTTCTCTCCCCCTCACCCCCCCGCCCAGCAGAGGGGAGAGGCCCTATAGCAACCAGGCACTGCTGCAGATCGTGTGTCTGAGGCTTAGACCCCACAGAAGTGGTTTTCAACCTGTGGGCCCCGGCAGGAAGTGTCTACCTGGGAGCTCTGACAGGTGGTTCCCATAGAACAGTGGGTTTCAGTCTGTGATTTGCGGACCCCTGCAGGGCTGCAGACTATGTCTAAGATTTCCAGAGGGGTCTGCACCTCCATTTGAAAATGTTTGGGGGTCTGAACATGAAAAAAGGTCAAAAACCACTGTCTCATGGCAACCAGGCACTACTGCAGGTCATGTATCTGAGGCCTAGACCCTATAGTAGCTAGGCACTACTGCAGTTGGTGTATCTGAGGCTTAAGCCCTACAGCAACCAGGCTGTACTGAAGGTAGTATATGTCAGGCTTTAAGGATGGGTCCCAGTGACTATGAGACAAAAATTAATCCAAAAATAATAAGCACCCAGCAGTTTGCAAAGGGTTGACAAAGACACATAGCTCCATTTCAAAGTGATGCTTCATCTATGAGAGTTTGATGCAAGATCCTCTCTTCTGGGCAAGTTTAAATGTCCCAAAAAGTGGATCTTATGATGAGTCTTGCCACAAAACTGCTCCACAGCTTAATAGCTGTCCCCGTCAGGAAGGGTTTTAGGGATATTCAGCTAAGGTCTGGTTTATACGTGGATTTTGTACCAGTATAAGTATTTTAGTTGGAGGTGTGATACACCAGTAAAATATAAAATCCCTAGTTTGGACACTGTTATTTTAGCATAAAGATGACATACCAATACACCTTATTCCCCTTCCTTTATGGGAATAAGCTATAGTGGTATAAGCCCACTTATACTGGTATAAACACAGCCATACTATGGAATTGTACTATTTTATACTAGTACAGTTGAAGCGGTACAACTTCTGTGTGTAGCCAAGGCCTAAATTTTCCCTCCAATTTCATCCCGTGACTCCTAATTATACCCTCTTATTAAACCCTAAACAAACCCTAAACTTTGTCCTTGACATCTAGCCTGTTTCAAATACTTGCATACTGCTTCATTACCATTGCTGCTCCCAGGTGTCAATTAGCAAGATATACATATTTTAGCTCCTTTAACTTTTCCTCATAATTCCATCCCTCTGTCCTCTTCTCTGCACCTCCAAATACTTCGTGTTGCTTTTCTGTGAATTTCCTCCAGTGTCTCAACAACTTTCTAGTACAGGAAAAGGGAAGCCAATTTCCCTAAAAGGGAAGCCAATTTTGTTACAGATTACTAGAATCAGAGTTACTTGGAAGCTGCCTACCTGCTATCCCAAATAATAGATGATTTGTGACACTGCTACTGACATGGCTAAGTGGCTACGTGCATTGGGTTATTCCTGTCACTCCACAATCCTATGTAGAGTCTGTAAAATAGAATTAACAAAGATAACCAGAAAATATAAAATAAGAAAGTAATTATGTATGTGATGGGGGGGGAGAGAATGTGTAAAAAAGGCATGAAATATTTTTTAAAGGCTTGTTTGGGATTGTGACTTCACAAGATTGTTAATCAAACAGTCTCTCTCTATAGATATAGATTTTTTTTTGTCATCACCTATTTAGCTAAAACTCTTGTACAGTTGGCAAATATGTAAAAATTTTACCAGGATCAATTCTCCTCAGAAACCAGTCTGGTGGCTGCACAACTGTATATGCATTACAGTAGATTTTAGGTTATTCTTTGAAGGGGGTGGGGCTAGCATTCAGCAAATTAATCCTTAAAGAGCCCCCAAATCCTGATTTATTTGAAATTAATCTTGAAGAAATGTTTCATCTTTTTTCCATAGCTCCGTCATGCTCCCCCCATCCTCTTTCCTTCCTCCACCAATGGCATGCCCCAAAGGCACCCTCTCTTCCTGTTCCCTCCTATCAATACCCTATCTTCCCCTTCTGTTTGCCTCCTTCCTATGTCTTTTCCCGCCTTCTGTCCCATTTCTACCTCCTTCGCACGCATCTTGGGGAGACTGGAAGATGTTACCACTCACAGCTAGCCAGCTGAGTGATCTCAACATCCCTTCCTTCCTGCTGGTGCCTACAATTGCAGAGGAAGAGTTGAGAGCAGCCCAAGCACTGACAATGCCACAGTTGCAAAAGGCCAGCATTGCTGGTGGTGGTGGTTTTTAGAGCAACGGAGTTACAACAGAGAAGCTGAGATGCTGACTGGGACTGTTCCCTCCCATGATAGATTTACAAATACCTAAACAGCCCCTGCCAAATCAGGACTATAGGCATTTTTGTCAAGTATTCTCCTGAAAAAGAAAAAAAAAATCTGTCAAGATGAAAAAGATTTAGCAGTCTTCCCCAATCCTTTCCTTCCATTGGAAGCTTTTACTTCAGTTCTGTAGTCCTCAGTTGAGTCCTGTGGGAAATATACAGGGAAGGCAAGAATTAATATTCCTGATAATTCTAATATATAAATCAAGCAAAATATACTGGAATGAATGAACATGCCCAATGGGAACTACATGTTTCCAGAAGCCTGAGCAGTCTCAGTGTCACTTGAGTGCTTGTGCAGTTAAAAGTACTATGCTTGCTGTTGGACAAGTCTCTTGAGTTCTTACTAAACTTCACAGGGACTTAAAATAATTTCAGGCTTTCTTTATGCATCATGAAGAACCAAAAAAGGGCACAAACATCGTTTCCCTTGGCAGGTCACCTTTAAGATACATAAGTCATTATGAAATGTCTCATTGCTTTCACAAACTGGAGTCTGCTGAAACCATAACACACACAAAGTTTTACTTTTGAATAAGGCTGATTTTCTCTGTCATTTGTTTTCACTTTTATTGCTCTGCAGAACATAAAAAGTAAGAAAAAGATTTTATTTTTCCCCTACATAGCATATAATTTACATCAGTCATCCCAGAAGGTCAGTACCACTGGGGTGTCATTGAAGCACAATGAATATAAAGTAATGCAGATCTTGCCAGAGTGGATGGACATAACTTCTTAGAGAAAGAGAGAGTTTCCAAAGCATGTGGGGAAAACACAACGGGAGACCGAGTGAATTCATCACACCACAAAAATGTCTCCATCCTGTCGACAAAGTCATTAAAGGAAAATGAACCATTGTTGCTCTAGACGTTCGCATTCCTTTGGCACAGTAATTTCAGTACAGAAGCATTGGTGCAAAGAGATTTTGCACACATTGGAGAAAAAAATATTTTTAAAAATAATTTTAAAAAGATAGTGTCCAGAATATGTAATAAAAGAAATCCTCCATGTTCCAAAGAGGATCCGGAGACTCTACAGAAGCCACAACTAATAACCATCTGCAGTAGGACAGAGTGGTCTCTTTTCCTCGTGCCAACAAGTCAAAACAAATGGCAACATGGACAGTTCTTTTCGAGTGACCCACAAATTATGTCCTCCTTTAATTATACCAACATTTCTACCTTTTGCTGAACCATGATGGTCCTCATTTTAAAGATGCCTTATTGAGGGGTTCTTCCCCCCCCCCTTTTTTTGTAACTTACTTTGTTTGCTTTCACTAATGCTTTACAGTCTCCGTAGAAACAATCTGAGAGGAATGTGGGGATTAGAGCGGTTTGCTGTATTCAATTTTATTTAATTTTCTGGCAAAGGGTGTCCAAATTATAGAAAAATGTCACATGTGTTTGCAGTCAATTGTAGCATATATCAGTTTCAGGTGCTAGGTTTTACTTTTAGATACAGATTTTTCTCATCATAGGAACACTACTTTAAAGGAAGAATGGCCAGCATGCGGTGTATAATATCAAAGGTAGTTCTAGAAAGCTGCAGCAGAATTGTTCATGTATGTGTCCCTTTATACATAGCAGTTCCACAGTAAGGTAGAGTCCTCTGAATTGACAGACTGGTGGAAAGAGAAACATGCAAACTAAGCCATCATCTTGATTATCCAAGCCTCATAGGAATGTGTTACAGTGGAAGCCACTTTTGTTTCACTAGTTTCTTTGAAAAGAATAAGAGACAAATCATTAAACCATTTTTAAACACCTGCACTAAGAGAAAGTTACCTTTAAAAGATACATTAGAGCAGAGAACTTACATAAATTGAACAGGGTGCGGGGGGGTTGGGGGGGGCGAGGGAGAACATATGCCAGGGAACACCAATTCACACCTGCTAACTACTACAAATAAATTTGTAGACAACAGCAAGCATGCTGCTTATCCATCATTTACGGTCACTGAAGTGCAGTGAGCTAAATCCACTCCCTGGCAATTGTCACAATTAACTGGGTGTGCTGTTTATTAGGGTGCTGATTAAAGTGTACTCTGTAATATAACAGGTATGTAGTTGCCAACTCTTATTCGCTTCTGATTCATATGGATAAAATCACAAGAGCAGCCCAGAACGATGTGGAAATAATGGTGTATTTTGTGCCAAAAAAGGAATAAAGGATGAAAACTAAAGATCTGGAGCAATTTGGAGGCAACTAAAGATTTGGAGACACAGCATCTGATGAAGTG